CGATAAGGGGCTTTATCCTATACAGAGCTCTGAGTATGTGAGGCCTAGGGGGATCGGCCTGTCCCACAGGGATCCTAGCTACAGTGACAGTCCATGCCTACTTCATGGAGCCTCAAAATAAGATGGCAGAGCCCTTTGTGCCTTGGACCACTGAATTCTGCGCTGTGTGTGCCCACTGCTCACTCCCAGTGATGGTAAGCTCACTGTGCACCCCTCATCACATGATTCTGCTCAGGCCCTTCAGCGCCAGTACAGGCTGTGGGTGACACTGTACAAAGATGTCTCTGTCATCCTGTTGGGTATTTTACGCCTTACTCATTTCTTTAAAGGCACAAAGCAACAGTTAAAGGCCAGTCCTCTATGCACGCACAAGTATGCTGAGACTGGAACAGAATTAAAGGAACTGAGAGCTAAAAGAGGGGAGGGAGCTAATGTTATCAGAATGGCACTGCAGGTGAGTTTACAGCATTGCCCTGAGATTCTTTGGCTGTCATTGCAACAAGATAAATTTTATTTGCCACTTAGTTTTTATTGTCTTGAAAAAAAAAAAAAGAAATTAGCCACTCAATAAAAGAAACATGCTTGCATAGAAGTAAATGTTGACAAGTTTGTAGAGTTTGAATGAGGACTCATGACATCATAATGGTGTCTTTCGTAGATGCTTTTTGAATATGTATAGATAATTTTCAAATAATCATTATCATATACATGTTTCACAAAAACCTTTGGCACAAATATTATAAACCCTATCCCTACGCTAGCATATTTGAGCAAGGAATTCTGACTATGTAACTTTAGATGAAGCTCTCTCTCTCTCTCTCTATATATATATATATATATGTGTGTGTGTGTGCTTTTGTGTGCACACATATACATGTTCACACTATGGATATTTTAACACACTCTTGCAGCTGTGTTCAACCAGGAAGCCTAGTCTCTCCTTCATTTCCTTGGAGGTACACACAGCACTTTGGAACACAGAGCTTCTGTGACGCTTCCTGGATGTTGTGCACCAAAGGCCTAAGCTTTGGTTTAAAACAACAGAAAGAAATATTCACTGCCAAGGGAGTATCCTTAAGTTTCCCATGTTTTTCTGTCCCCTAAAAGTGGGATCACATGACCTGCTCTGGCCAATGGGCTGAGAGTAGAATCATACATGTGAATATAAGCAGTAAGAGTTTTGTGTAGTGGTTAAGGTGCCATTTAGGATGTCTGGGTCCCTCAGTAGGGTGCTTGAGTTGGATTCCTTGGTCTAGCTCCTGACTCCAGCTTTCTGTTAGTACATTCCCTGGGAGCCAGTGAAGATAGCTCAAGCAAGTGGGTTCCTGCCACCCATGAGGGATTCAGCTCAGGTTCCTCCTGCCTCCCAGCTTCTGACATTTGGGGAATAAACTAGTAGATAGGAGCTAGTACATTCTCTCTTATAATTCCATTCTCAAGTAAGTGGAAATTAGTGTATATATATATGCCTATATATATGCACACTAATATACATATAGGCTTATGTATATGCATTACATTTTTCAAAAAAATCAAGTTATGGAGCATATAATCAGTATTGTGCATTTGATATTAATATATATATATAATATATGCACATTATGTGTGTTTTTGTATAAAATGCATGGCACTGACTATATGCTCTATAATTTTATGTTTTTTGAAAAATATATCTTGGGGCCCGGCGTGATGGCGCAGTGGTTAAGGTCCTCGCCTTGCATGCCCGGGATCCCATATGGGCGTCAGTTCTATCCCGGCAGCCCCGCTTCCCATCCAGCTCCCTGCCTGTGGCTCGGGAAGGCAGTCCAGGCCAGCCCAAGGCTTTGGGACCCTGCACCCGTGTGGGAGACCTGGAGGAGGCTCCTGGCTTCGAACCGGCATAGCATTGGCCATTGTGCTCACTTGGGGAGTGAATCATTGGACGGAAGATCATCCTTTCTGTCTCTCCTCTCTGTATATCTGCCTTTCCAATAAAAAAATAATAAAAATAAATCTTTTTTTAAAAAAAGAAAAATATATCTTGGAGCTCTATCACAAATAAATTTACCTTGTTTATTAAATTACTATCATATCACAATAAAAATGTATCATAGCACTCTGTGGTGGACATTAAGACTGGTGGACATTAAGATGATGTCCATTATGTTGATATTACAAAAATAATTTTGTGTATTTTTCAAGAAAACCTAGAAGTGAAATTGCTTGTCAGAAAGACATGTAGTTTTGGAAATTTTAAAGACAATTATTGTAAAACTGGCTGATTCCTGTCATTTTATCTAGGTTTCTTACAATTAGATTGTTTCATGAGAATGCTTTAATTCCATCATTATCCTTTTCCTCTCTTTAGTTTTTCCTCCTTCACTTCTTAAGAAGGGAGAACACAGAAGTCACTGGCTCAGATTTCAGGAGGTTGATGGAACCAAGTGTAGGCGTTAGGATCTCTTCTGTGGTTCTCCCTTGGTACTCTGATGTTTCTCATGGTAGAGAAGAAAAAGACAAACCAGCCAGCTTTCTGCTAAGATAGAACCTGGGCGGCAGTGGGGATGCCTCAAGTAACTGTGTTCCTTCCACTCACATGCGACACCTGTGTTCTCAGATTTCAACTATGGCCGAATCCCAGCTAGGGCCATTGTGAGCCTTTGGAGAACAAACCAGTGGATAGAAGTGGGCTCTCTCTTCCTTTCAAATAAATAAACTTTGAAATAAAGTTTCATTCCAGGAGTATTTGCCAGGTTTTCTTACCAGTATCTATTCTGAAGGGTGATTTTGGCATGTTCAAATATTTGAGGCTTTTTGTTTGTATGTAAAATAATGTTCAGTCCTTCTTAACCTGCTATTGGGACATGATAATAGCCTTCCATTCAGTTTATTTAAAAGCAATGTTGCATAGCACAGGTGTTGGTTAACAAGTGTAGGAGGGAAGGGTAATAATTATAAAACAGACTTGCTTTATGGCATTTGAATCCGAAATATGTCCTTTGAAAAAAATCCATTCAAATTTGGTAGGGTTTTCACCATGGCATTAATATCAAACTGAAAGTGGACACTGTAAACTGAGATGACAGAAAATTCCTTTTAGAGAAAACTAAGCACAACAATTAATAAATACAGCATATAATTAAGAGGGCAGGGTGTGGAGACAGACTGCAATGGGTTCAAATTCTGGAGCTACCAGCTGAGTGACCTTGAAGAAGTTGCTTAATCAGTTTACTTATCTATAAAGTGGGGATAATTAATGGTTGCTCCCTCATGGAGCTTTTCTAAGTACTATGGTCATGCATCACTTAACGGCAGGGTAAGTTCTGAGCAATGCACCATCAGGTGTCTCTGTCATTATGTGAACACCATAGCATGGACTTACACAAACTAAGATAACTACAATGCCACTAAGTGCTATAATTTTATGGGTGCACCATCACGGGAGTGGTCTGTCATTGACTGAACTGTTTTGTTGCAGGTGACTGTATTCAATAATATATTTAAAGCACTTAGAAAATTGTCTGCATTCAGTAAATTCTATTATTTTAAGTGTTAGTTCAGTCTGATAAAAGTGAGCATAGCAATGATCAAGAGTGGAAGATTTCTTAGAATCCTACTACCCTTTGGAACAGAATCTTAAGTCCTGTCAAGTTTTTGTTGTTGGTATGAATGATAGGTGTCACTTCCAGATACATCATGCAATAACTTCAAGGAATGATTTGTAATAGAGGAGCAAACATTTCAATACTTTTTAAATTATAAGGGCTCTAAAAGAATAGAAGAAAAATAAGCCCACATGGATGAGCCAGACATTTATGTTGGGGACAGAATTTCTCAGTTTCAGTATTAACTATGTTTTTATTATTAGACCCTCGACTCAAGTGATCTTGTCACTTCTTCTGGTCTAAAATCAAAAACACAATATACTAAAAACAATACTTGTCTGTGAGATGTTCTAGTAAAAATTTAAAGAAGCTCTTCATAAGCATGGCTTTATTTCATATTGACTAAAAAAATCTAGAAAATATTTTCAGCCGTTTGATTACTAGGTAAGGTCAAACTAAAGTTAGGTTTAAAGTAAGCTGAATGCAGAAAATAATGCTTACAGCAACATTTTTTTTTCTAATAGAACATGATTTTAGCTGCAACCTCTACCTCCAAAATTGCAACTTTGCAGAAATTACAGCTCCCAGTTCTTCCTGTCTCAGCTCCACCCAGGTTCCACGGCTGAGCATTTGCAACCACCTGTGCCACCTCCTTTAAGCTTTTTCTCCTCCATCCTAGAGGGGTCCATCAAAATGCTCATAGAAAATGGAATCAGAAAATGTTTATTTTGGTGAAACAATTTTTGAAATCTTGCATAGGGAGGTCTTAAAAAGTTCACAGAAAATGGGTATTATTGCAAGGACTATGCATGGATAGTAAAAAAAGTTTGCACCAGATTAATATTTACCTCTTTTCCAGGACCTTTTGACGTGCCCGTGTCGCACGTAAAGAGTATCTCCTCACAATTCTGAGGTGAAATTTAAAAAGAGGACACAGGGCTAAAAAAGAGGACCCTGGGCAAAACGCTCCTCTGTACACCAAAAAGTGTCGACAGAAGTTCCAAAAATCCTTTTGAAACGCTCTCTCAAGTCTGTTAGCCTCCCCTCAGTTTTCGGGGCTTCGCGTCATCACCTCTTCGTACCCTGCCTCCTCCTGGGGGCCTCACCGGGTACGTTTATCGATTTAATACTCAGGACTGTGAGTGTTCCCCCCTCACAGTAGGCACAGTGGCAACCGACAGCCGCCCCACTCTTGTGGCGCGGCTCCTACCTCGGCACCAGAGGAGAGGCTCTCCTGGAGCGACTCCTGCCTCCAAGAGCTGAGGAGCCGGCCTGGGAGGCCCGCCCCCTCGAGCCTGGGCCTGACCTCACCGTTGTGGGCGGGACCTAGGGGCCGGGCCGCATCGCGATTGGCTGTGTCCTAGCAGCCGCGGCGACGCCGACGTCAACAGACCATTGCAGTCTGAACTCGATTAACGGGGTTACTGAGAAACCGCGCTTCTGGAATCCTTCGCGCCAAGCTATGGCCGGCCAGAAACCCGGTGGGATGCCCGGTTGGCCTCCTCTCTCTGGGCAAACCGGCTCCGGAAGATGGGACGTTTGCTGAATGGGAGCCGTCTGGCCCTCCATCTGACAGGTTACCTAGTAAGTGCGTGACACCACCCTTTCCACCTCAGAACCGCCGAGTCGCGGGCCTTCCAACAAGCTGCCTTAGTGTCCTAGCTGGGCTGCATTACACCCATCTTGCAGATGCCTAAACAGTAGCGGGAAAGCGCACGCGTTACTATTTGGTTACTCGGGTCTGGTCGGAGACAGGGGGTCCGACCCTTCCTGCTCTAGAGCGCTTTCCTGCCACTTCACTTCCAGCAAGAGTGGAGGTGTCTGGGGGGACAACCGGCTCTGGCTCTGGAAGTTAGTCTGAGCCGTAGGCCAATAGCATTAAGACGGTGAAGTTTACGTGCGCTCTGTAGCATAGTAATGCTAGAACCAGGAAAAACTTTCTAATGAAGAGTGATAACTACGAACAGTCTAAAATTATAAGTGACCCTCCTGCTCCAAAGTTTTCCATACCTTTTTGCCTGGAAAAGCGTCTGGCTGCCTCTCACACCCACAGAGAGTTTGCACAATCATATGACCCTTCCACACTCACATCACTTTATTTCATCCTTTTTAAATAGGCATAAAATTTCCTTTGTTAAGGTTTATTTATTTATTTATTTATTTATTGTAAAATCTTTGTTTCTCCTCAGGAATGAGCTCCCTCTAGCACACTCCAGTTATTCTCAGATTTTCTCCTCAGAATCCCAAGATATAGTCACCCAGCCCAGACTTCTTTTTCAGAATCAGCAAAGATAAAGGGATATTTGAGGTATTGATAATTTGAGGTGTTGAGGTAGAAGCATTTCAAACTTTGCAGCTGAATGAATGGACTCTGAATCTTGGGCTGTCCCTCACACTCTGACCACACAGAATCTTCTTTTTTAGGGCATGAGAACTTCTTCAACACTATCAGCCCTGAGTGGCCTTGGTGCATCTCCTGGTGGCCCAGCCTGGGCAGACTGTAGCAGTCCAGGGTGGGCTGCACATGAAGCCATTCCTTCCTTTGGCTAGAACCTTTGGACATGTGTCACTTTAATTTTTCTGTTCCCTCCCCTCCACCCCTGAATACTTGACCTGCCCATAACTCAGCTCAGACTTTCATTTCCTTTTTTGTTTTTTCTCTTCTCTGTCTTACACTTCCTCCTTCTGTTTGAGAAATCCCTTCTTATTTCCCCAAACTCAGTGACTCTTGAAATAGCTCTTCACATATAGGGCAATACTCTGCTGGGATATGTTGCCTGAGATTCCTGGTTTTTAACAGCCCCTTGAAAAGAAAAACACTGAATAATACTAAATAACATAGTAATATCCAGAGAATAATAAGCTTCTGTTCAAAGAGGCAGCTATTTCTTATTCTTTGCAAATCAGTTCTAGTTGGTTCTGAGGGATCCATCATTGGGAGAGTCACACATAATGTCTGCTGTACATTAATACTGTGCTGAGACCTACATCTGGTTTGCCACTAAAGTTGTTGACCCCCTTCTTACAGTCCAAGGCCAGAGTTGGGAAGTATCAAAGCAAAAGTTAGAGCTTTCCCAAGGAGAGACATAATGGAAGAGGTAGCATTTGAAATTGACCTTGCAGGCTTAGAATCCATCTAGGACGTGGATAAGACCAGCTTGGAGGTGGGGAAAGCACGCCAGCTCTGTGTGGAGTGAGGTGTTTGGGGGAGTAGAGGGCAGGTGTAACTTAGTCAGGTGCTGGCTTTGTGCATGCTTTCTTGACAGAGAAGTCTTTACCCTATTTGATAGAACAATCACTTCAGTTGGGAGATGGCCTTTCTCTCTTTCCTCCCTTGTTTGTTCTGGCTGTGTTCCATGTTCCAGGTGCTTCATTTCTGACAATACAGGTATTCTCAGACTATAAAACCTTAGAGTTAAGGTCTGAATCACAATGAGTCATGCAGGTTCTCAGATCCCATAGAGCTACTCACATTGTTTAAAACTTTTTTTTTTTTTTAAAGTCAAATGGAGGCACAAGGAAATGGAACATTTACCGTTCGTTGTAAGGCTGGAGAATTGATTGCTTTTGGTTTAAGATCAAGAATGTGTTCCCATGGGTGCTGGATGTGTGGCTCAATAAGCTAATTCTCCACCATCAAGTGTTGGGATCCCATATGGGTGTTGGTTTGTGTCATGGTTGCTCTGTTTCTGATCAGGCTCTCTGTTTATACTCTGGAATTCAGTGGAGGATGGCCCAAGTACCTGAGACCCTGAACCCACACGGGAAACTTGGAGGAGGCTCCTGGCTCTTGGCTTCAGATTGGCTGCTGTTTGGGGAGTGAACCAGCAGATGGAAGATTTTATTTCTCTGTCCTTCTCTGTAAATCTGTCTTTCAAATGAAATAAATAAATCATAAATAAATCTGCTGTTTGTTTAAGAATGTGGCCTTTTGGCTCCTCTGACTCTCATTTCAATTTTTAATGAGAAAACCTTTCGGGGGGGGGGGTGGTTTGCATAAAAGTGCTCCCTTTTCACCTAGAACATGTGACTCCCTCCAACAAGCAGAGTGAAGCAGGGGGTTGTGTTTTATGGGAGAGAAAAAGATGAATTGCAAATGATGAAATACTTTTTTAAAAAAAAGTCTTCTGAGTTTCCCTTTCTGGCTTCTGCAAGAATAATTAACCGAATTTATAAGAACTTCATGTAGAGTCTTTGTGGACAGAGACCCAAAAGAAAGTCAGATTTTTTTTAAAGTGTTGTTTACTCTAAAAACAGAGTTACAATGGGAGAGAGAGATCTTCTATCTACTGGTTCACTCCCCAAATGATCACAGTGGTTGGAGCTTGGCTAGGCTGAGGCCAGGAGCCGAGGACTCCATCGGCTCTCTCATGTGGATGACAGGGACCCGAGTGCTTGGGCCATTTCATTGCCTTCTCAGGGGCGTTCATCATAGGCAACAGCTTAACCCACTGTGCCGCTATGCTCCTTGTGTCAAAGAATATTAATCTTACCCTTGTTTTATATTCTGTGATTCTGAACCTCATAATTCAGTTTGACTGGAGATTAGGGGATTAAAGCATGTTTGAGTAAAAGTGGGAATCATGAAGCAAAATATAATTACTAAAAAATAATGACTTCAGGTAACTTATTTATATTTAACTCTTTCTAATGTATCAAGGCTTATCATGGATGATTCAGCGTTTTCATAGTTGTTCCTTGCAGTAGCTGGGAGTTAAGAGTGTTCAGGTATTGGAAAGAGGTGGAGTCTCTTGCCTAAAGTGGCAGAATAGGTTTACACTGAGCTTCTAAAAATGCTAGAGAGAGAGAGAGAGAGAAATCCCTCTCAGATGATTGCTATGTCCAGGTTTGGGCCTGTTCCAGTCCCCCATGTGGGTGTTAGGAACTCAATTTCTTGAGCCATCACCAAAGTCTGGATTCATACAAAGCTGGAATCAGGAAGCAAAACTGTTGAGTGGGGCATGGCATCTTACCTGCTAAATGAAATGTCTGCCTCTGAGCTTTGATTATAAACTTTTCCATTCCTGTGTAAAGCTTTACAACTACTACTGTAATAGTCTCATCAAACTGAGTTCTTTTTGTAAAAGATTTTTTTTTTTAGTTGAAGGGCAGATTTACAGAAAGAAAGATAAGGCAGGGGAAGGATCTTTCATTCGCTGTTTCACTCCCCAAATGGTCTTTATGGCAAGAGCCAGGAGCCTCTCAGGGTCTTCCATATGAGTGCAGGGTCCTAAGGACTTGGGACATCCTTTACCACTTTCCCAGGCCGTAATTAGGGAGCTGAATTGAATGTGGAGCAGCCAGGACACAAACCAGTACCCATGTAGGATGCCAGTGATGAAGGTGGGGGATTAGCCTGTTAAGCCATGGCACCAATCCCCAAACTGAGTTCTTACAGAACAGAGTTGAAATCTTCAATAATATGAATTTGTATGGCTTTGAATTCAACTTGAGGGGTCTTCAAAAATTTCATTGAAAATAGTTATGAAAAACCATCCATGCATTAAAAAAAAGTTTTGTACCAAAATAAAGATATATGAGATGGACATTTGGCATAGCTGTTAAATTGCTGCTTGGAATGCCTTCATCCTATATTGGGGAGCCTGATTTAAGTCCCAGCTACTTAGCCTCTGGCGCAGCTTCCTTTTACTGTGCACTGTGGAAGGCAGCAGTGATAGCTCAAGTCCTGGTGTTCCTGTTGCCCCTGTGGGAGACTCAGACTGAGTTCCTGACTCCTGGCTTTGGCCTGGCCCAGATGGTTAGCTGTTACAGCCACTAGAGAGTGAACCAATAGAAAGATCTCTGTCTGTCTCTTCTGCCTCTCTGCCATTCAAAGTGAAAAGAAACAAATTTTTAACAATTCCAAACCAAGTCGAAGTTATCTCTTCATTCTCTTTTCCACAAACTTTTTAAAGTGTCCTTAATGTGGGAAAATATAAATTCACACCCACCTTAAAAGGAATATACATAATCTTTCAAAGCTGGAAAGTGATGAGCTAGGAAGCTTGCTGAACCTGAGCCCTGAGAACCCCAGGGGTAGAGGTCTTTGTTTTCAGTGAGGACTTAGGAGGATTCCCAGAAAGTAGTCCCACTGGAACACAGCTGCCAGCTTGTCCCATGGGTGGAGCTGGGGGAGGTTAGTTGTAAACATAGTGGTGTAGTTAAGTAATGGCTTTGATTCTTACTTCTGCTACTTCCTGGCTGTAGCAAAGCTGTTTTATGAGTCCTTTCAGTCCTCGAAGCTTCTGATTCCCTGAGTCATAAAGCTCGAGTTTAATCAGGGTGTTAACAGTGTGTCACTGATAGGATTGTGAAGAATCTGTGAGATAGTGCACACACACGCAGACCTGCCCAATGACTGGCCAAGAAATGGAAGTTGCTGCAGTTCTTCTTACTGTAATAAAGGCCGCTGACCATAGACTTGGAAGCAGGGTGGCCTGGTCTGAAATCATGCACAACCCATGCTAGCTGTGAGGTTCTTACCACCTGTGATGCTGTAGCTAAGTCTCTTTCACTTGATTTCCTTATCTGTTAAGTGGAAATAAAAATAATGTCTACCTTATATGATTATTTGAAGGAATAAATATACACTGCACATGACATAATGTTAAATAAAATGCTGGCTAGTAGTATTCTCAATTATTGAAAAAATAAAGCATGTTGTGGCTTGAGTCAAGCTGATTTAAAAAACATTATTTGTTTTTTATGGGAGAAGCTGAGCCAGAGAGAGAGAAAGAATGAGTGAGAGAGTTCTTCCGTCTGCTGGTTCATTCCCCAGTTGGATGCAACAGCTGTAACTGGGTTAGTCTGAAACCGAGTACCTGGAGCCTCTTGAGGTCTTCCACATGCGTGCTGCTGCCCAAGCACTTGGGTCATCTTCTGTTGCTTTCCCAGGCACATTAACAGAGAGCTTGCTCAGAAGTGGAGCAGCCAGGAGTTGGCTTGGTGATCATATGGGATACTGGTGCCATAGGCAGAAGCTTGGCTTGCTATGCCACTGTTTTGGCCTGCAGCTGATTTTTGGGTTGAATAAATGCCCTTGTCATAACATTGAGACTTTCAAGAAATACAATGAGAATTTTAGAAAAGGGGAAAAGAGAATATTTCTGTTGTTGTTTTACAATGTGGTGTGTCAGTTTCTATGCCCTGCATTCACTGGAAGCAGATGTGAACAGAGCTTCTGACACATCCTCCAAGTTATGTGGCTCTGCCCATTTGTGGTGAGTGGGTCAAGGTTGCACTGCAGTGGCACCACTCCTTTCCTCATGCGTAGACTGGCAGGCCCGCCAAAGTTTATTGCGATGTCTGTTGCCTCAAGTTTACTCCATCCCAGAACATCTGACTCCCCGAGTCAGGGTGCTGAAGTCCAACTGCAGAGCCACGTCCCAGACCATAAAACAGTCAGAGGGTAAGTGCACATATTCCAACAGTGCTGAACCTGGCCCCACCTGCCACCATCTCCCAGCTAGCCCCTGCACATGTACAACAGGTGCGTTTCCTCCCAGGGTTTTTTGGGCTCTTGATCACCTTTGATAACAAAATGTCAGGTGTGATCAGAGTCACACAGAACCAGTGAAGGTTCTGAGTTTTAATTTTTCAAAGTTTTGAAGGCTTTGCATTTTCCCCCATTTATAAATGTAAGTGCTGTTTTAGAAATGTTTAAATAATGCAGGTAGTTATACAGAATAGATAAGGCAGGCCTGCATGGTGGTGCAGTGGGTTAAATTTCTGCCTGTGATGCTGTTGCTAATGAACACCGGTTCAAGTCCCTACAAGCTCCAGTTCTGATCCAGCCCCCTCCAATGGCCTGGGAAAACAGGGGAAAATGGTCAGCCCTTGGGCTCCTGGCCACCCATGTGGGTGACCCAAATGAAGTTTTATCTTCCTAGCCTCTGCTGGGTTTAGCTCCACCATTGCAGCCACCTGGGGAGTGAACTAGAGGATGGAAGAATTCTCTATGTCTTTAACTGTGCCTTTCAATTAAATAGTTAAAAAAATAAGGCAAAACCGCATACATTTCTAACAAATAGAAGAAAACTTCCTTGGGGATATCTTGGCGTGTATCTTTCTAGATGTTTTTCTGTGTTTGTACATATGGATATTGAATTGTCTGATTATCTCTTAGCAATGTATGTGAATATCTTCTTTACCAACAAATATGCATCGTATTTCAATTTTAACCAAATAGAATGCCACTTGCTAGGTATATTCTAATTCGTATGGAACCACTCCTCTGTTGTTTGTTTCCCAGTTTTCAGGAAGTCTGAGTTTGACCACTGTCCTTGCAGGAGGCGCTGTAACTTGGATCCTGAAGCGGAGATGGAGAAATCAGGTTTGTCTTCTTCCATCTCTGAGTGGCAGTTACAGAAGCAGGAAGTACTGAGCCACACCAGAACAGCCTTGGCTGAGCAAAGTCTTCTTTCATCAGAGAAATGGCTTCAACTTCATGGCCTTAAAAGCAACAAATTGACCCTGAAACAGATTTTGTCACAGATTGGATTTCCGCACTGTGAAGGTAAAGTACAAACAACCAGCTTCTGAGGAGCCTGCATTAGTTCTGAAGACACTCTGGCCTTGCGCGGATCTCACGTCCCTGTCCATTGAAAATGCTTCTGCTTCCTGGATGGACAGATGGGTGGATGATTGATAGATGGATGGATGGATGGATGGACAGAAGCAGAGGATAGATGTGCATTCATCAGTCCAGATTTTAAATATTCCAAATGATTTAATTTAAAAAAAGATAAAATAAAAAAATGAAGTAGGAATCATTTGTGTTCATCTGCACCCTGGCAGATTTTGTTTGTTTCCTGGGATGTGCAAGCCCCTTTGGAGGCCACTGACTAAGGCAATAGCTGTGTGTGGTTTCAGGGAGGACACACGGCTTTCCTGTTGTGACCTGTTATGTTGTCATACCCCATTCAACCAAGCAAAATCATTATCTGGAATGTTGGATCGTAACTCCTTGTAGCATTGGCCTTCATAGAAAGGCATGAACATGTGAGGGTTTGTTGGTTTGTTTTAATGAGGTGTTAACTTGTGCTACTGAAATGCACAGCCTGGGAAACAGGGCTATTGGAGAATCTTAACAGTGGGTGAGGTGGCCCATTCTGTAGGATCCATCCTGCCCATCCTATCTGTGAAGCATTCCTTTAACCAGGGCAATGCCCTTGGATTTTGTTTAATTATGAATGAGTCAATTAATCAGTTAACAGATATTTATTGAGCAGCCATTAATACCATGTTTAAAAATGTTATCTATTTTTATTGGAAAGGCAGATCTACAGAGAGAAATAGAGAGAATGATCTTCCATGATCCAATCCTAAGCCAGGAGCCAGGAGCTTCTTCTGGGTCTCCTACGCAAGTAACGGGTCCCAAGGCTTTGAGTCATCCTCTACTGCTTTCCTAGGCCACAAGTAGGAAGCTGGATGGGAAGTAGAACAGCTACTGGGACATGAACTGGTGCCCATATGGGATTCCAGTGCTTGAAGGGGGGAAAATTAGCCAGTAGAACCATTGTACCAGGCTTAATACCATTAAACAAAGAGCAACAACAACAGATTTCTCAGTTTTCTTGGCAGCTCTGTGCTGTACTGCAAGAAATGACCCAGGGGATGTGGTTGTTACAGACAATCTAGAATTCCACATAAAATTCAAGACTTGGTTCTTAAGCATCTGGGTCATGCTTTCTCCTGTTGTCTTTCTCGTTAGTCTGTACAGCCCTGTGCTGTTTACATAGTTCTGGAGGGAGCAGTCTGCCACAGTCAGAGTCTGCGGGATTCCCATATAAGGAACACACACACACACACACACACACACACACACACACACACACAAGCTCTCAAAGATTGTTATTGTTGTTGGATTTCTAGTTTAATTTCATTGAAGAATTAGATTTCAGATTTTTGAAACTTCATTAGATTTGTTTTATGATCTGGCATCAGTCAGTCCTGGTGGATATTCTATGTACATTCCATTCTTGTTAGGTATTACTGGTACATGTTAACTAGGTTAAGAGAACTGATAATGTTGGAGATGGTTCATGCATATAGTAATTTTCTTGTTCTTTGTCGGTTTTGTTCATGTATTTCAAAACTCTGAATATACATAAATTTTGAATTGTTATATCTTTCTGATGGCCTGATAATTTTAATGTTTGAAGCGTGTATGTTTTGTACTAGGTAAGAGTCCTAGTTTTAATTTGCTTGTTCTGATATTAATATACCCCTTTCAGCTTTCTTATGCTTCAATTTTACACATATATTTACATTATGTTACCCTCAAATATCTGTAGTCTTTATTTAAAGGATACTTCTCAGAGATAGAATATTAGTTGGATTTTGCATTTTACACCATCTTATAATCTCTGTCTTTTAACTATAGTGTTCGGTTGTCTACTTTTAATATAAAAACTGGTGTATTCCCATTTTAACGTTTATTTGCCCCATCTTTTTCTTTCTCCTTTGTTTTTCCTATTGAATTCTTTGGACCTAATTGAATGTTTTAGTGTTTTATTGAATATGATTTTCACTTCTCATTTAAATTTTAATAGACATTTTATATTTACCTTTTTGTATTATGTTTTCAGTGATTGCTCTAGTGACTATGTCTTTAACTTGTCCTTGTCTACTAAAAATTAATTCCCTACTACTTCATATTAAATTTAAGAGTGTTGCAACAATATAGCTTCACTTAATCTTCATTCCTGTCCCAAAATCTTAGCATATTTTATTTCTGAATCTGACATTTCAGTGTCTTATTTTTTCCTTTGAAAGTCGTTTGATGTTTTTCTTTTTTTTTTCCTGAACAAACTTAAAGGGAAAAAGTTGATCCTTCTAAGGTACACATATTTATCACTTATACTATTCTTCCTTCCTGTGGAATTTGAGGTTCCATTTGGTGTTATTTCCTGAAGAATTTATTTTTATGCATCTCTTGTGGTACAGGTCTTTTGATGACAGATTTTTTTAATTTTTGTGTATCTGGAAGTGTCTTTTTTTTAAACCTTAATTTCTATGTATTTACTCATTCATCCATTTACTTTATATATATATATATATATATATATATATATATTAGAAAAGAAAGAGGCCACAAACCGATATGCTTTTGTTAGAAAATATTTTCCTTTTATTTGAGAGACAGGGTGACAGAAAGACTCTGATGGCTTGTGATGGAGGGGGCGGGCTTGAAACTAGAAGCCAGGACCTGAGAGCTGGAGCATCATCCCATTCTTCCACTTGAGTGGCAGGAACCCAGTTGTTTGAGCCATCATTGCTGCGTCCTGGGGTCTGTTCTGACAGGTATCTGGAGTCAGGAACCCAGGTATTCCACTATGGGATGCAGGTGTCTTAACCCTAGGTTAAAGGTCTCTTTTCCACTCATACTTTTTATTCTAAAATAGTACAGATCCTTATGAAGTAGCAAAGATAGCACAGAGTGGTCCCATGCACTCATCATCCAGTTTCTTCAATGATCATGTCTTATAAAATTATAATGTAACATTATAAACAGAAATTTGACATGGTGTAAGGCATGTCTGTAACTCTACATATTTTTATTACCAGTATAGCTTTTTTCTAACAGTTTCTACAATCAAGAATATAGAATGGTTAATCTTCGCAAAGGCATTGCTTATGCTGATTTTCCAATTGTTTTTTTCTGAATGTTCTGAGTTAGTTTCTATAAAAGGTTTATTTTTTTGACTATGGATATCCAGTTGCTTAGTACTTTTTATTTGTTCCTTTGAATTACCTTTGCATTTTTGTTAAAATCTGGATGTTTTTACTTATATGGAGTTGTTTTTGGATTCTCTGTTTTGTTAACCTTTGTCTTTTTCTCTATCAATACTGCACAGTATTGATTACTGTAACTCTATAATGCCTTGAAATTGGTCAGATTGATTCCTCTTACTTTCTTTTCTTTTTGTTTTTTTTTTTTAATATTTTATGTATTTAAAAAACAAAGTGGCAGGAAGAGTACAGGAGAGATGGAGAGAGAAAAATCTTCCTTTTGCTGGTTGACATCCCAAGCAGCTGTAATGGTTAAGCCTGAGTGCAGGCTGAAGTCAGGAGCCTAGAACTCCATCCTGGTATCCAGCCTGGGTGGCAGAGACTCCAGCACTTGGGCCATCTTGTACTGCTTTCCCAGGTACATTAGTCAGAAACTGGTGGAAGTGAAACAGCAAGACCTGGACCTGGTGCTCTGATTCGGAACGCTGGTGTCGCAGGTAGTAGCCAAACCTGTTGTGCCAACATCACCAGCCCCTTTTATTTTTTTCAAAGATATTTTAGTTACTCTAGTTCTTTTACCTTTCAAAATCAATTTTAGAATGCCTATAGCCACATCTTCAAAAATATTACTGGGATTTCAATATGAATCATTTAGAGCAATTGTTATTTCCGCTGTGGTGAATGTTCTAGTGCATTGGATGTAGGATAGCTTTCCATTTATTTACATTTATTTTGAGTTTCTTCATCAGCTGATAATTTTCAACATCCACATCCTGCACATGTTTTGTAAAATTTATACCTAAATGATTTTTTTTGAGCAGTGCAAAATGATAGTGTTTTAAATTTTGTGTTTAAAATGTAAGTATGTTGATTACTAATGTATGGAAATATGATTCATTTTTAAATGTTGGTCATATTATGCTGAACTTTTAGTTCCAAAATTTTTTGTTTGCTTTCTTTTGTACATTGTCAGAAATTTCTGGATCCACAAAAGTGTGGCAGTTTCTTGCTTTTGTATCTATATGTCTGTACTTTTTTTTTTCTAGTCTTCTTGTGCTGGCTAGTACTTTGGCTGAAAAGCAATCTAACAGTAGATATGTTTGCATTTAGGAAAAAGCTTTAGGTTTGATGAATACATATGGTATTGGTGATATATTACTACACATATAGTATTCTTACACATTCTGTGTTTTTGCCAGCATTGGAAAATTTCAGCTCTAGTTTCTTTGATAGCATTTTAAGCCTTTTCCTCTCCTTCTGGCACTCCAGGGGCTTGAATATTAAGTGGTGTTCTTATACTCCCACATGCTTTTGAGGCTATGTCCATATTTTTTAGTTTGTTTTTTTCTCTGTTGTTTAGATTGTATATTTTCTATTGTTCTGTCTTCTGATTTACTTCTTGCTTTATCTTCCACATCTTGCTGTTGAGTCCACCCTCTGAGTCTTTAATTTTTTTTTTAATTAAAAATTTTTTTTGAATTTTTATTGGAAAGGCAGATATACAGAGAGGAGGAGAGCCAGAGAGGAAGATCCTCCATCTGATGATTCACTCCCCAAGTGGCTGTAATGGCTGGAGTGGAGCCAATCCGAAGCTGGCAGCCTGGGGCTCCAAGCCTCTTCCAGGTCTCCCACGCAGGTGCAGGTTCTCAAGGCTTTGGGCCGTCCTGGACTGCTTTCCCAGGCCACAAGCAGGGAGCTGGATGGGAAGTGGAGCCACTGGTATTACAACCAATGCCCAATGGGATCCCAGCGCATGCAAGATGAGGACTTTAGCTGCTAGGCTACCATGCCAGGCCCTAATTTTTAAAAAATTTTAATTGAGGCATAATAACTATGCATATTGATAGCATGCAATGTGGTTTTTTTTTCTGAAAATATGAAATGCTTCACAAATTTGTGTGTCATCCTTGCACAGGGGCCTTGCTAATCTTGTTGTATCGTTCCGATTTTAGTTTATGTGCTGCTGAAGCGAGCACACATTGTGTTTTTTTTGTTTTGTTTTGTTTTTGTTTTTTTTGAGGAGCGGAGATCATGTTTACATTGTGCAGTCAGATCAGGGAAAACATATCCGTCACTGTAAATGTTTAATTTCTTCTTGATGAAATTTCTTCCTGTTAAGGAGGGACAGTTGTGGGTAGTTCTTGCTTCCATCAATGTCTCCATTGATGCCACCCTGTTCTCCATGTGGCTTCCATTGCATGTTAAATGGGTGGTCTTGTTATCTTTAAGTGGTAATAAAAGTGGTAACAACAACAACAAAACGCTCTTCATTAGGCTTGTTCATATGACACCCCAGTGAGGACAGGAAAGGATGCCTCACTCAAGCTAGGTAGGTCAGGTCACCCGTGGTGTTCTCTTGACACTCTGGTATGGTCGTTGGTGACTGCCTGGCAGGAATGAATGTCCTGACTCTCCACTATGTCTTTTCTGATAATTCCCCAGCAGGAAATATGGAGTACTTTACTATAGCCTGGCAAGGTTAGAAATCTAAATTCTCCATTCAGCTCTTGCTAGTGGAGATGGAAGTGGTGTTTGGCTGGAGTAGAGTGCCTTTTGTTAGATTTTGATGTTCCTGGCCAATCTGCTTTTTCTTCCCGTGCTTTTGAGTGTTATGTAATGCCCATGGGTTTTAATTGTACTTAGTTAAGAGAACTAGGAAGGAGAATGCTTTCCTACTGTTTCCAGCTTCAGCAATCCTTATCTTAATTCTTGAAGGATTTTTTTTCTTGGTATAGAATTATTTTCCACCCAGTTTTTAGCCATGTAATCCATTGTTTCCTAATCTCCAGCTTTTTATCTGAGAAATCAGTCATAAACCAGATCATTTTTTTTTGTATCTGATATATGGAAATGTGTTCTTTATTTCCTGTGGCTGCTTTGGGCATGTTTCTCTGTGTTGGTGGTTTTCACCTGTAGTTCTGTTCTGTGTCCTGTGGTATGCCTTTGGTTTGATTTCTTTTTTTTAAAGATTTATTTTTATTGGAAAGTCAGATATACAGAGAGGAGGAGAGACAGAGAGGAAGGTCTTCCGCCTGATGATTCACTCCCCAAGTGACCGCAACAGCCCTCTGGCGCCCATATGGGATCCCCGGGGTGCAAGGTGAGGACCTTAACCGTTGCGCCACCGCGCCGGGCCCAAACTTTGGTTTGATTTTCTTGGTCCAGATGATCCCCAGTTGAGGATTGTTCAGCTTAGGGTTGATCAACTTGTACAGAGTTTGAAAGCAATACAAAATCAATGGAATTTCTGCCTCAATTTATGAATTTTGTCCCACTCCCACCCCCGAATAGCAGTATGTGGTACAACACTCTTGTAATGCTGGGCAACAGTTGTGGAGTGTAGCTTTCAGTAGGCCATACAATCATGAGGGTAAACAACCAATATTCTCTAGTATTGTGTGTTGAACCAGTAGCTTTGTGAATATCCAATCCCCTCCAGCCCTATTCTTACCCCTGATTTATAAGCAGTATACTTTCTACCCTCTACAGGTTTTCTTGTTCTGGATATTTCATGTAGATGGAGATCATAGCAAATGGTCTTTGGTGATTGACTTTTTTAACTTAGCAAAAATTTAAAAGATTCATTAATGTTGTAGCATATACGAGTACCATATTCCTTATTATAGCCATATAATATATTCTTTTCTATGGATCTAGCATAGGTTTCTTAAGCAGTTATCAGATGATGAATGAGGAACTAATGTGTATTCCAATAAACAGTTAATTTTGTTGGCCTCAGACTCCAAACTCTGTCTCTTGCTATATACATGCAAATTTCATTAGCTATTTTCTTCCTTTTGAGGATGATATGTTGCGTCCTCCCTATTCTTGATTGCTCCATATCTTTGAGTGGATGTATTTATATTTTGTCTAGAGCTTCTCATTTTCTAATAAAATTTATTTCACCAACATGATATGTAGAGCTTGTGATACCTTACAATTCAATTGGTGGTATAGCTTATCCAGTCTCTCATAGGTTCGGCTCTTCTTCAAGTAAGGACTTGCACCATGCCTTTTTATGCGACACCTCCATGACTCCAGCATTCCATATGGGCACCAGCTCATGTCCCGGCTTTTCTACATCCAATAAGCTGTTTCCTGCTTACAGCATGGGAAAGTGGCAGAGGATGGCTCAAGTCCCTGGACCTCATACCCACATGGGAGTTGAGATGCAGAAGAGATTCCTGGCTCCTGGTATCAAATTGGCTCAGTTCTGGTCATTGCAGCCATTTGGGGAGTGACCCAGCAGATGGAAAATCTTTCTATCTCTGTAACTCTGCCTTTGAAATAAAAATATAAATAGTAAATCTTTTTAAAAGTCCCACTACTGCCTCCCGATAAACATCTTAGATGAAAAAATAAAATACAGCTTTTTTTGTTGCTATGACAGATTGCCCAAGGCAACTAGCTCAGTAAAACATAAAGCTTTAGTTAGCTCCCAGTTTTGTTAACTAAATGACCCCCTTGGTTGGGCAGTTGAAAATGGCGGAGGATTTGTGGAGGGAGAATCACAGAACGAGCAACGAAGCAGAAAAGAGATGGGTTCTGAATTCAGGCTTTTCTGGCAACCTTCTCTAGAGCTTGCCATCCAAATGCCAGATTCCAGAGATCTCAGGATTTCTCACCAGGCCCACCTCCCAAGTACTGTAAATTTCTATCTCAGTACTATTACCTTCTGACTTTGGAATTTAAATGGCTGCGTGATTCTGGAAATCAAATCATGTTCAAACCATAGGAGGAAGTGAAATCTTGGAAATAGAATCTTAGAGCTCCATTGAGTGACTGAAATCCAGTATCTATTTTTTACTCCTCTGTTACAAAAGTTGACCTTGTAGCATTCATCGGGTCCTTGTGACTTGGAACCATACCTGTCCAGGTGGCCATAAAATTAAGCCTTGGAGCTGACATGATGGCATAGCTAACTAAGCTTCCATCTGTGGTGCCAGCATCCCACATGGGCACCAGTTTGAGTCCCAGCTGCTCCATTTCCAATCTAACTCTCTGTGGCCTGCAAAAGCAGTGGAGACTGGCCCAAGTCCTTGGGCTCCTGCACTCACATGGGAGACCTGGAGGAAGCTCTTGGTCTTCTGGCTTCAGTTCTGGCCATTGTGGCCATCTGGGGCAGTGAACAGTGAACTAGTGACTGGAAGAGCTCTCTGTCTCTCTCTGTCTCCTTCTGTCTCTGTTACTTTGCCTTTTTGATAAAAACAAGGAAATCTTTTTTTTAAATTCTGGTTTGCTCTTTCTTTCCTAAGCAAGTTGTTAACCTTTCTCCATAGAAAAGCAGAGGAAAGGGGCCAGCATTGTGGCATAGAGGGTAAAACTCCACCAGAAATTTAGACCTCTCTGATAGGCTCCAGTTCATGTCCCGGCTACTCCACTTTGGTCCAGTTTACTGCTAACACACTTGGGAAAACAATAGAATATGACCCAAGACTTTGGCCCCTGCCAAACATGTAGGAGTCTCAGCTGAAGCTCCTGGGCCTTGGCTTTGTCCTGGGCTGTCTCTGGCCTATGGGGCCTTTTCAGGCATGAACAAGCACATGGAAGATTTCTCTCTCTCCGCTCACCCACTCACTTTCTCTAACTCTTTCAAATAACCAACAATAAACAAAGCAGAGGAAAGTACTGAACTATGATCACCACTATTTTCTCCCACTAAGAAGATTTAATAATGGCAAAAATAATGAAATAATCACATAATAAACATTCTCTACAAAGCCTTATCTCCTTTGTCCTGCTTCTCTGGTTTGTTCCCGAAGCCAGTCTGTATAGACTTCCAATAGTTGGTTAAAGAGTAGGAATATGCTTTAGGCCCTGTTGCATTCCCATCCAGTAAGCACTATGTCTGGCACACAGTAGGTGCTCAGTAAGCATTTGTGCAGATGTTTGAGCATCTGAACATGTGACCTGAGGAGCAGAAAATCTTGTGATTCTAATGTATTTGGTTATATTTTTTTCCGTATTGGTTACTTGTATATTTCATTCTACTCATTAATCATGAACCTCCACTTTAGAAAACATAAGATAGTACCAATGTTGGATTTTTAAAATCTGAAAACCAAATCCAAATTCTGAATAAAAGCTTTGGAAAAGTATATACAATGTACATACTGTCCTTTTTGACTTCTGCTTTAATCATTCTGGATAAAAGAACCAGGAAACCAGGAAACAAACCTGTTCTTCCTCATGCTTCATGTATAACATTACACAAACCACAAATAGTTAGAATTATCTCAGCATGTAAAAATTAGAGGGTATTTCAGAAAGTTTGAGGGGAGGATGAAGTGAAAACTACATTTATTTTGGTACAGTTATTTTAAAAAAATCTGCATTGTTTTTCATAACATTCATTTTTCCATGAACTTCTGAAGATGCTTTATACTTAATGATTTAGAGCAAAATGCAATTTGTTGCCAATTATTGATGTCACTGAGAATATACTTTGGTGACAGAGAAAAACATTTTGAGATTAAAAATGAGATGCTTTAATATTGCACTGTTTTGATTGTCTTTCTTTATAAAAATGCAGAGTATGTGACTTCTCTGGGAAGACTTGTGGCTTCTCGATATGCTGATGGCCTGTTCCCGCAGTTCTACACGGCAGAAGATGGCAGAGTCTACAATGTAAGGCAGCGTTCCTTTGCTGAACAGGTCCTATGATGGGATGCAAAGGTTGCACCAGGGACCTCAGGTTCATGTTGCTTGGCAGTGATACAGCTGAGCTGAGAGATACTGCTCTGGCTGGAGGTTTTGTCTTGGCAATGAGGTGATGAAAGTCATGTCCACGGAGCTGGAGAAACAAACCTTTGACCTGTCAGAGATTAGTGCAGAAAGCTCTCAACCAGAGATGAGATCAACATGTTGCAGATCAACATGTGGTTTTGCTTGGAAAGTGAGTCGGGGTAAAGGGGCTGAAGAAGACGCACACACACACACACACAAGGTGAGAGATGTTAGCTGAAAGCCAGAGGCAAGCTGCCGTTATCCTAACAGAAGCATTAGCAATGGGGGCAATCTTTGTAGGTGGCAGAGAAGAGAGTGAGAGAGCAGGCAGCTCCTCAATCTGCATTTCCAGCAATTCAGCGCATGGTTGGTTCTTGTATCCCTATACGCATCAGGCCCAGTGCAGATCCATGCCCACCATATGGAGATCATAATCTCTAGAAGATGCATGTCCTGTCATGTTTGTTTATAGATACTTTTCCACATGCATCCATGCACCACCTGGACTGTTGTTTTCTGCATGCATATTGGTGCATTCAGTAGGTTCCTTCTAGTACCCCCTCAGAATTCAAAATCTGCAGATGCTCAAGTCGCTTTTATGAATTGGCATAGTATTTCCACACAGCCTCTGCATATTTTATGGTATGCTTAGATACACTTATGACTTACACTGCCTAGCAATGTAAATAGTTGTTGCACTATATTGTTAAGGGAATAATGATAAGCTTAAAAAGACTGTATATGCTCAGTATAGATACATTTAAAATTTTTTACTTACTTGTTTTTATCTGAGAGCCCAAGAAATGGAGAGTGGCAGACAGAGAGAGCTTTCATTCTTTGGTTCACTCCTTAAACAATGACTGAGGCTGAGCCAGTTAAAATTGGGAGCCAGAAATTCAATCCAGACCTCCAACATGGGGAGCAGGGACCCCACTACTTGAACAGTCACCACTGCTTCCCAGGGTCTGTATTAGCAGAAAGCTAAAATTAAAAGGAGAGCTGGATCTTGAACCCAGGCATTCCAGTATGGATGCAGGTGTTCAAGCAGCACCTTAACTGTTCAGCAAATGTCCACCTCACTGACAGACTCTAGAAATACGTATGTTGTTGATCTGCGGTTGATTGACTCCAGAAATACTGAGACCTTTTATAGACAGTTGACAGTCTTTAAAAATTTTAAATTACTTTTTAAACTAAGCCTGATCCTTAGCAATAATACCTGTAAAATCGAGTTTGATGTGCTTTTTTTTTTTTTTAATATGAGCCATGTTAAAATCAATACAGAGCTATTACAAACATCTGTCTCTCTACCAGCTAAGTCCACCTCATACTCACCATGATCTGGGCCTGTCTAGGGTGTCATAACTGGTGAGATAGTTAGGAATTTTACCATCCATTCCAGAAATGCTGGAGCTTGAGGCATGCAGTTGACAGAGCCCTGAGGAGGGGAAAAGAGAGGGGCTAAGGGGCCAGAGTACAAAGATAAGGAGTCATATAGTAGATTGAGAAGTGATTTGCATATTTAAGAGTGTCCTAAAAGGCTTTTTTTGTTTTGTCTTTAAGTACTACATCTTTTAATATTGGATTTGTTCTAGCACCAGGCACCTTTTTTTTTTTCTTATTCTTTTTTTCTCTGTCTTCTGCCTATACTCTTGAAAGGCCTTGTACAATTGGGCCTGATCTGTGTGAACCTGATCTATGATTTATTTGAATACCACAGAAATTACCCACAAGTCTCTGTCATGTCTGTTCAGGGCAGTCCTTGGAGGTATCTTTGGCAATGAAGAGAGAACAAGTGTTCCAGGTTTAGGCATGTTTGGTCCAAAAGATAGAGGGCAGAGGACAGAGATGATGCACAGGAAGATGAGTGAGAGGCTGCAGTCTCCATGAGGAAATCAGCCAGATGTGCTAGGCACCTGCTCAGACGCTTTTGCAGAAATATTTTTTGGTATGTTTTATGTCTGAAAACATTTTCAGCAGGCTTATTTCTTTCCATCTGCCTTTGCTCGTCTGTCTTCTCTTCTATCTAATGTCTTAAAAGTACCCCTGGGCATTTTTTTGGTAAAGATAATCTGTAATTACAAAGCTATGTAAGAGCACTTCAGAAATTTTGTAGAGAAATGAAATTGAGATTAATTCATTTGGTGCAAGCACTTCTGAAATCCATTCATATCTTTTTCTTTTTTGATTTTATCAGTATGAGGAGAGCAGATTTTATGAGTTCCACAGGTATAGTTCCAAGAAGACAATCTCATGCTCCTTTTTTAATTACCCTCCCTCCCATTTCACCCTTCAGCTGTATTTTGCACAGACTTTGACCCACGCTGTTTCATATAACCTTTTCCTAACATACATTTTCCACTAACTTTTTTCAAGACTCTCCTCATGCCCCAAAGAATACAATTAGGAAATGCTTTTTGTTTTCGTTTTTGTGTGCTCTTTTCTGAGCTTTTCTTGTTTGAGAGGGAACCACTCCGGGTTTTTAAATTGGAAGTCTGGAAGGCTTCCCCTTAGATGTTTCAGGATTCAGAGGCTCACATCCCTCCTTGTTAGGAATGGCCCTTCTTGGACCACAGTAATGTGATTCAGACCGATCTAGTACTTGTTTCATGTTTTTTTTTTCTTTGTGGCTTTTTATTTTCACAAAGCTGACTGCTAAATCAGACCTGATCTGTCAGTTGGCGGACTGTTTAACACAAGCCGTGGAGTGCTACAAACAGCGGATGGAGTGGCTCACCAGTAGAAGCCGGCAGATTTTTGGTGTCATCTTAGAACAGTGCATCACCCTAGTGCTGGACTGTAGAGATCTTCAGGAGGGGGAGCTCAGTCTGTGTCGAGAAGCTCTAACAATGGTCCTGCAGGAGCAGGTGGCTCGCATAACCAAGTTCAATATCATAGGGTAAGTCCCCAAAGGAAGAGGGTATTTCAATGAAACTTCTTAATTGTTTGCAAATATTTGCAATTAAGCAGCACAGCTTGAGGTACCTCTGTGGGGAGAGAAGTAGGTGTTCACTTGTGATTTCCTGAAATATACAATTTCAGTGGAAAACCCACAATGAATAAATCTTGGAAAACTTTGTGTGTGTGTATCTTGCATAGGGCATCTTAATTTTCACATTGAGAAAGCCATGAAAATGTCTGTTTCTTAATTCTAGGAAGACCATAATACGAGAATATGAATTATGTGAGATTGATATTTAAGGCCCTAAATTGCTCCACTCACTTTTAATTTAGACTTCGGTGATGAAGTAAAGGTCACAAATTCTAGATTTCCTAGATTGAATTTGTAGCTTCAGTTGATCTGCTTTGTAAGTTGACTGTTTTATCTGAACAACATGTGGCCGACTTTACACAAATTCCCTCATTTCAGAATTTTCACCCTCAATTATTTATGCAAGAAGATTTGGACCTCACTGTTCCATTGCCATTTGTAATAGTGCTTGTACCTCCCTGACAAGAAACATCTGGATGGGGCAAGGAAAATCTATCTAATTGGATTTTAACAATAATAATAATAAAGTGCTTTCAGCTAAATAGAAGATATATTTGGGGATGATACCCAATTGTATTCCATGCCAGATTCCCATGTCTGTCACTTATGTATCATAGAAGGAAAGAAGTAGTGGAGTCTTCAGGGCTTTTGCTTTCTTGGAGGTGTTGGCTATCACATATCCAATGCTCAGTCTATTCTCTGCCCATAGAAGCCATACAGAAGGGACACAGCCAGGAGCAAGCTCTGCCTCTGGAGGTGGGCTATGAGGGGACTCCCTACCCAATTGATTTGTAGACATAAGCACAGAAATAAATCTAGGGAGCTCCCCTTTGTTTATGTCATTGGGGATTTCCTTCAGTCATTTCCAAGCACAAATTAAATGGCTTCACCAAATTTTCTTAGGACGTCAAAAATAATGTTTTGTTAAGTTCAAAAGAATACAATTTTTGATTCTCCAGAAATCTCTTAGGAACTGAAAATAATGTCCTGGAAGAGTCAGAAATAAAATTTGAGAGTAATGAAGTTGCTGCTAGTTTGCTAATCTTACTGCTGTGAATACCTGTCTGTTACTAACAGAAGACAGTTACCAATAAACTTGCCTGGTATGAAAACAACTCCTGTCAGTAATTTTAAAGAACTTGTCAAGGTTTGTATTTTTGAGACTTTCATTCTAATGCAGGTGTTGTTCCTCCTAGTCAGTGGTGCTTGGGAAAACTGTCTGAACAGCTTGCCTGTGTGGCCAGTCACTTTTGAGGACTGGCAGCTGCATCAAGGGTTGACATTTCCCCCTCCCCCTCCTCCCTTGTTCAACTGCCCAGTGACTGCTCCATGGGATTCCTTTCAGGGTATCTCAAGAGCCTCTGAAATGGCAGGAAACCGCTACTCCTGTGACAGAAGAATCCATAGCGGCTGCCATCAGCTGGGTTAAGAAACTGACTTTTGAGCAGACTGTGAGTGAAGTTAGCTGCCTGGAGGCTCTGCTGGAAGCTGGGAAAGACAAAACCGTAAGCATACATATGGTTCTCTCCGGGGCCTTGGCTCCAAGCTTGACTTTTTGCATTCAGTGTCTTTATCTGTCCTCTCAGATGATCATGGTCCACTTCCCAGCTAGTTGACTATCACAGAGGCATCACCGTGAGTCATAATCCCACTCACCCCCAAATCTGGAACCAATTGAGAAATAGGTTAGAGGCTCCATGGTGACTCTGTAATGGCAGAATTGGGCTAACCCAAATGAGACTATGGAATACCTGTCCCCTGAATCTGGCTAAATGCCCTCTGGACCCTCACTGTCAGATGCCACAAGAGTTAAGTGCTACTCATACCCACTGGGCGCCATGAAAGGACCGGGAGTGAGGTCCTCACTGTGCATCTTGAGCTTGTCAGTTCCCTTCTTGCCCTCCTGCCAGTTAGATAGAGTTGTCCATCTCTTATGGGGATAGGATAGAGATTGGGAAGACTCCTCGTAAAACCTTGAGGTTAAGGAAATAGGGTTTCCACAACACCCACATTCTGAATCTTTCCCAGCTCCTCTTGCTTTCAGAGAGCTTGATCGTCTGCTTTCCAAGGTGAGTGTGCTGATGAACCCATCCACCTTCAGATGCTAGCACATTGGCTTCTTGTGAGGAACCTTTTGGAAAGAAACACTTACCTGGAAGAAGCAAGTAAATGCTGCTGTCTTATATGTCCCTTTCAACCATGATGGGGTGTGTTTCCGTGAGTGACTCTAGTGATGGGACTTTCTAATGCAGTGGCGAGATGATGGGCAAGGGGGGAGCAAGTCAGTGTTTTCTTGCTTCTACTGCGGAGACCTGGGATTTCTGACTGTGCTCCTTTTGTGGGCAAAGAGGCCGTGTACTGGCCTTTGAAAGACTAGCCCCGTGGTCGTCAGCCTGTGTATGTCATTACAGAGTGTGATTGTTTGAAATTGGAAACACATTGTTCTCCCCCACTACCACCATCACCTCAGGAAACCAAAGGGACAAATGTTTTCTGTTAAAAAAGAACCAAAGATAAACTGCTCTGTTCTTTGTCCCTTCAAATTTGTTTTAGCAACTGTAAAATTCCAAGTGTCAGGATTCCTCACTAAGCACTCAAGAAATTAGACATTTTCCAGTCCCTAGACTGTGAGGTAGGTGTGTGTGTGTGTGTGTGTGTGTGTGTGTGTGTGTGTGTGTGTGTACATGAATGCTCTCCTTTGTCTGTATATCTGGCTGCTGTGGTCACAGCTGACGCTGGGCACCTGATGGGATTGCAAGATCTCAAGTGACCCTGCCTTTCTTTCCCATTTCCCTTTAGTTTGTGCCTCTGCTTTCCCTATGCCCCTGGCCTAGGAACCATTCAGTGAGTTCCCGGGTAGTGCTATGGAAGAGGGAAAATCCAGAAGGAATCTCACAGGCACTCATCATCACACGCACACTGAAAGCACTTGAGGGGATTGTGGCACACAGGAAGCACAAAGCCTTGTATGACCTCTGTGACCCTCCACCTCGAGTTTCTAACTGGGGGTGGTTCTAAGGAAAATTCTGGTAAATGCAGCTGCCTCTTATATTAAAATGTCATGTCCTGTTAAAAAAAAAAAGAGTTAAAAAAAGCCTGTGTGTGGGAGGAGGGGGTGGAAAGGGGAGTGAGTTCCCACAAAGGCCACTGCTCTGTGCCTTTCACATTTGTCTCAATTAATTTCAAATTCATCCATGTAACTATACATCATTAGGAATAGAAAAATCTAAGGCTTAAGACACTTTTTGAAGAGTAAATATAAGCATTTAAATTTTTCCTATGGATGAACATAAAGTCCTTCTCAATGAATGAATGCTTGAAGAACCAAGATGGTAGGTTTTATCTCATGCCCAATAATTAGCACAGAGGTCTGGTTTCTGTATCAAATCTGCATGAGGATTAGGGCTAAGTGATGTGCTTGGTAACGAGGAAGAATACCCAGGACCACTGGCCTGCTCCAGGTCAACACTTTGTAAGCGCAGGTGGGGCCAGGAAGTTGGAAGGATGACTAGAGGTGACTTTCAAGTCTTAAGAGGAGTTCAGGCAGATTGTCATGGCTCTGATAATGGTATTTGAGGAGCAGGACTGATGGACAAATTGCTCAGTCAGGACTTGGTTCATGACGAGGGTAGCATGCAGGGCATTGAGGAGACCCTTGGCTAACTTTGACATCTTCAGAGCCCAGGAGTGTCGGCCAGCTAGCAGTTCCTGCTCTGTAGCATCTTCTTATTCACTGGGAGACTAAGTAGATGAACTACAGACAGACCCTTGTTATTGTTTATGGAGTCTTGGCTGCTGGGCAATAAGTTGAAAACCTGGTCACATCAATGTATGAACTTGGCCTTACAATTATTTCCTCGTACCAGTTCCATTGAACATCAACTCTTCATTGTTGTGTGCCTAATGCTGAACAAATATTTATTAACTGTTGAAGAAATGGGAATAATGTTGATATTCTTGAATTTGAGAGCTAGGCATGAGTTGAAGGAATTCCCATCTCCAAGCTGTGGCACAGATTTGAGCTTTGATCATTGACAGGAAGTGGCCCGTATGGGATTAGGCAGGTGATTTTGTTGAATCTTGGAGGCCTCTTGATAGGGGTTGAGGATGGAGACCCTGAAGCCCGAGAGGGCGTGAAGTTGGTGATGGCCAAGGATGTTAGGAGGACTCTGAGAAGTGAGCCAGTTCCATGCTGTAGAAAATGGGTATCATCAAGGAGAAATTCAGCAAATCAAAGTAGGCTTTACCTGGAAAGGGTTGTTGTCGGTACACGGAATGTCTGGAGGGTAGATCCCAAGGTCTAGTGTTAGCCAAACATGTGAAAATGTTCAAAGTTATACAGAGAACAGGAGAGAATGTTAACAGACATTCACTGCTTATTCTGATTGACTTTCATTTTCATTTCCTTACAAACTGGAGGTTTTTTGTAGCTGAAGGCCCTGCATGCTAAAAAGCAGGTTTATAACAAGATGGTGTGGAGGGCAGCCAGGTTAGATGCAGCCACTCCCTGTGTATTTCCTCTGCACCTGCTCCCAACCTACCAAAAAGGTCATGAGCTCCTGGGCTGAGCAGAATGCAGGTTACTGTTTGAAGCTACAGAAGGAATAAGATATTCCAGACAGAATAAGATATTCCAAAGGAAATCACAGAGGTACAACCCTAATTTTTGTAGTGAGAAGCACAGGAATCCTTGACTCACTATAAAGAAGCTGAACAGAATGTCATGCACTTTTATTTTGCATTTAGTTCACATTAGCACTTAGAGAAATATTGGTCAAAGATGAAGCTACTTGCTGGTCTGGATGCTTCTACTGAGCCACAGCACTGGCCTTTGCCCTCAAGGAGATCAAAAGTATTGGTTAAAAGGTGAGAATTCGGGTCCGGCTCCGTGGCTTACCGGCCGAAGTCCTCGCCTTGAATGCCAGGATCCCATATAGGTGCCAGTTCTAATCCCGGCAGCTCTGCTTCCCATCTGGCTTTCTGCTTGTGGCCTGGGAAAGCAGTCGAGGATGGCCCAAAGCCTTGGGACCCTGCACCCGCATGGGAGACCTGGAGGAGGATCCTGGCTCCTGGCCTCGGCACCTGCCATTGCAGTTACTTGGGGGAGTGAATCAGTGGATGGAAGTTCTTCCTCTCTGTCTCTCTTCCTCTTTGTATATCTGATTTTGCAATAAAAATAAATAAATGAAATCTTAAAAAAAAAAAGAGGTGAGGATTCCCATGAGGAAAACTCTCCTAAGCCATGCAAACTCCAGCACCCAACTTTTGATCAGTACAGTTGAGCAGGTGTAGGAGCCTGTGCCTCTGGATGGTGGGCAGGTCCCCAAACTGAAAACAAATGTCTGCCTGTGCTCACCTGCTTTGACCCGTGATTGTTTTAGAAAAGATATTATATGCTTATTTATTGTATCTGAAAGGAAGACAGAGCTTCTCTCTGCTGGTTCACCCAAAATGCCTGCAACAGCCAGGGCTGGATCAGGCAGAAACTGTGAGCTAGTAACTCAGTCTGGATCTCCCACATAGATGGCAGGGAACCAACTAACTAAGCCATCACCTTCTGCCTCCTAGGGTGGATTAGCAGCAAGCAAATTTGAGTCCCAAACTGGAACTTGAACCTGGACACTTTTATATGTGATGCAGGTGTCCCAGGTAGTACTTTTAACTGCTGTACCAGATGGCTGTGCTGGTCCCATGACCTTGCTTTCACAGTTTTGAGCTCCATCTCTAGTAGGTGACCAGCCTTGTTGCAAGTCAGCACAGTGCAGTGATTGAGAACAAAGGTAGAAGTTCATGATGTTGGGTAGTTAGGGTTTATTATCTCCAAAGCCAAATCAATCAATCTTTCTAAACCTCAATTTTTTATTCTGCAAACTGGGCTTAATAATCATAATTCATACCTCATAAGACTGTTATAACTATTGCAAAAAATAGTTAATTATGGATTATTATATCAAAAAGCAGATAGCCCTAAAGCTATTTTTGCTTTCAGAAGCATTTTGTAGGGCTGGTATTGTGGTGTGCTGTCATATATAAAGCTGCTGCCTGCAATACTGGCTGCTCTACTTTCCATTTAGCTCCCTGCTAATGGCTTGGGGAAAGCAGTAGAGTATGGCCTGAGTGTTTGAACCCTACCACCCATATGGGAGATAAAACTTTTGGTCAGTGCTGGCCATTGTAGCCATTTGGAAAGTGAACTAGTGGATGGGCAATCTCTTTCTTTGTCTCTCTCCCCTCTATTCCTGGCTCTGTACCTTTAACTGTCAAATAAATAAATCTTATTTTAAAATAAATAATTTTTTCAATTTTAGGGTGATAAAGGAAGAGGCTACATATTTATCTTTCTGTTTTTCTAAATGTCATTATTTGAGTAGTAAGGAGAGGTGGAAAGGCTGTGTAGGAGAGTGGGGGTGCAGTTGATGGTCTCAATGCAAAGTGTGTAGCTTGGATTAGTGAGAGTTGACTACAAGCATATACACTTGAGCCGCTGAGTCATGAACTTAATGAA